GCTGCCCAGAAATCAATGACAGTGGAAAGGCAATTCTAGAAATAACTGCAAGAATGAGAAAATTAGCCCACGTTCCAGTTTTTTTTTTTTTAGGGTGGTCTCCAGATTTTTCCTTTGGAGATTGGTTTTCATTTTTCGGAGGGTTCAAGACTTTAATAGGAGTAGTTCTGGCTGTACTAGGAAGTTGCCTAATACTCCCCCATCTCTCACCTCTCCTTGTTAGAAGCATTCAATCAACTATAGAGGCAATAGTAGCTAGACATTTTTTTTTTTTGCTAATGGCTCTGTGTAAAAATCAACTTTTGCCCAAAGAAGAAAACTTGTTTTTTTTTTTTGAATTAAGTAACAGTGAGGCCTTCTATTAAACTTATTTTACAAAAGTCCTCAAAGGGAGAAAAATGTAGTAAGGGTTAAATAGAAAAAGAAACAAGTTTTCCTCTGCTTATTTTTTTTTTTTAAAGACAGTTATAAGATAACACTGTCCAAAAAGCCAAGGCCAAAGGAATTTTTTTTTTTTTGCCCCCCACCTCTAGAGCAAGGTTGAGGAAAAAAAGAGAGAGAAATTCCTTTACTGTTACTCCTTTCCCTGGCCTCTTAATTAAGCATGACTATGTTTTACAAATGTCTGTTTTTTTTTTTTTCTTGTTTTTCTTTTGATGCAGCTACAAGGCCACCAGCTAGGCAAGGCCTTTTTTTTTTTTTTCTATGATTGACTGCCTTTTTTTGGTTTTGTAAGCCTGCTTATAAAAATTTTTTTTTTTTTTTGTTCAAGGCTCAGGTTTTTGGATGTGAATCCACTGAGCTGGTGCATTTTTTTTTTTTTATATCCTCCTCTATTCCCCTGTACTGGTCTCTCTAGTCCTCTGCATCCTTTTTTTTTTTTTCAGAAAAAATTCCATTGTCTGGATGTATTGTATCCATGAACATGCTGAAGGACATCTTGGTTACCTCCAGGTTGTGGCAATTATGGATAAAGCTGCTATAAACATCTGCTTTTTTTTTTTTTAACCCAAACTGTAAAGTATTTGAAGAGATTTTTTCTGAGACAAATATGATTGACTATAACAAGAGGCATGGTCTCAAGAGTTCCTGAGAACATGTGCCCAAGGCAGTTGAGTTCCAGCTTGGTTTTTTACGTTTCGGGGGGACATAAGACATAAATCAGTAATGTGAGAGAGTTTGGGATGGCTTACAAAGCATAGGTGAATTCAAAGATTTTCTGATTAGCAATTGGTTGATTTTTTTTTTTTCAAAAATAACTCTTGGAATCAACAGAAAGGAGGGTCTTGGTTAGGTTAAAAGGTTGTGAAGATCAAGGTTCTTTTTTTTTTTTTTGAGACAGAGTTTTGCTCTTGTTGCTTTTTTTTTTTTTCAATGACGTGATCTCTGCTCACTGCAACCTCTGCCTCCCAGGTTCAAGCAATTCTCCTGCCTCCACCCTCTGAATAGCTAGGATTACAGGCATGCGCCACCACACCCAGCTAAACTTTTGTATTTTTAGTAGAGATGGGGTTTCTCCATGTTGGTCAGGCTGGTCTCAAACTCCCGACCTCAGGAATCTGCCCACCTCGGCCTCCCAAAGTGCTGGGATTAGAGGCGTGAGTTTTTTTTTTTTTCCCAAGGTTCTTGTTATGTAGATGAAGTCCCATAGATGGCTTCCCTTAGGGACAATAGATGGCTAATGTTTCTTACTCAGACCTCTAAAAGGCGCTGGACTCTTCAGAAACGGCCTGGAAAGGGAGGGAGATTCTCTACACGATGCAGATTTCCTCCACAAGAGACAGCTGTTTTTTTTTTTTCCAAAATATGTCAAAGAAATACATTTTTGGGTAAAATATTTCAATGTCTTTCATGGCCTGCTATCTGTCATGTGATGCTATACTACATCAGGTTGGAATTTGATCTTATTTCTAGAGTCTGTTCTGTCAGTCTTAAGATCTCTGTTTTAAAGCTGGTCAGCTGTGCCTGAATTCCAAAGGGAAGAGAGAATGAGGCATGTCCAACCCCTACTGCCCATCATGGCCTGAACCTTTTTTTTTTTTTGGGTCCCCCTGGCCGAGAGGGCGTTTCACCCAGTCAGTTGTGGGGCTTGTTTTTTTTTTTTTGGTTTACAGCTATAAACATCTGTTTGGAGGTTGGGTAAATCCTAAGGATTTTTTTTTTTTGATCACATGGTAGAAGTAGGCTTTATTTTTCGGGAAACTGCCAAACTGTCTTCCCAAGTGGCTGTACCATTTGTTATTCCCAACAGCAATGAATGACAGTTCTGGTTTCTCCACGTCCTCATCAGCATTCGGTGTTTGGCCAATTTTCTGGATTTTGGCCATTCTTACAGGTTTTTTTTTTTTGCTCACTGATTAAATTTGCATTTTCCTGACAACATATGATGTGCATATCTTTTTTTTTTTTTTTGGGAGGGGGGACGGAGTCTCGCTCTGTCACAGACTGGAGTGCAAGCTGGCGCAATCTCGGCTCAACTGCAACCCGCTCCCTGGGTTCCAGCCATTCTCCTGTCCTCGCCTCCGAGTAGCTGGGAACTACAGCACCCGCAACCAACACCGGCTAATTTTTTGTATCTTTAGTAGAGACGGGGTTTCACCGTGTTAGCCAGTGGGTCTCGATCATTCCTATGACCTTGGGATCCGCCCGCCTTCAAGCCTTCCAAGTGCTGGGATTACAGAGCGTTGAGCACTGCACCCAACCTAGCGGTAAACGTTTCCAAGATGCTTAGTTGCCACCGCATAATAAGACTTCTCCGGTGAGGTGTCCGCCTTTGACCCATTGGTGGAATCAGGATTATTTTCTTATTATTGAGTGCAGACGCTCTTGGTATATTTTGGATAACAGTCTGTTATCAATGTCATTTTGCTAATATGTTTTCCCAGTCTGTGTGGCTGTCTTTGTTTTCTTAACCAGTGTCCCTTTTGGCAAGAAGGCAGAAATTTTCTAATTTTAATGAAGTCCAGGTTAATCACAGAAGCCAAAACTGCAAATCCAACCACAGGTCCCAACCCAATGCTGGACGGCTCCCCAGCAATGTGCGGCCTGGGAGCCGTGCCTGATCCTTGATTTCACATTTTCCTCATTCCTTTCACTGCAGGAAATATATGATGGACGATACAGGTGGCAAACAACATATTTAAGCCCTACATGTTAGTGCTCATACAGTGGGCCTGAAAAAGACACTGATAAACTGTTTGTTTTCAGGCAGAGAAGAACATTCACTTAAAAGTCCTAGTTTAAGGGGCTGAGCACGGTGGCCATGCTGTAACTTGTCCAGACTTTGGAGGCTGAGGCGGGCAGATCACCTGAGGTCAGGAGTTCAAGACAGCCTGGCCAAAATGGTGAAACCCTGTCTCTACTAAAGAGTCCAAAGACATTAGCCGAGTGTAGTGGTGCATGCCTGTAGTCCAGCTACTTTAGGAATCTGAGGCAGGAGAATCGCTTGACCCCAAGGAGGGCAGAGGTTGCAGTGAGCCTAAGATCAGGCACTGGACCCCAGCCTGGGGTGATAAGAGTGAAACTCTGTCTCCAAAAAAAAAAATCGTCTCTCAAACCAACGAACAGGG